GGCGGCCAGCGGGCGAGGCAGCAGGTGCTGGCTGCCCGTGGCCCTGGCCTTGGCAAACGGGCAGCTGCTGGGCTGGCGGTCTCTGGCCTCTCCTGCCTGACTAGGGGCTGAGGGAATCACGGGTCCAGTCAGAGGTTTTGCTTCTGATGCTAGAGGCATCTCTCTCCCACCCAAACCCTTGAACGCTCGGGCAGTTCGCCCAGGTCTCACGGGGCGTCCCCCACCCGGGGCTGGCGTCGTCCTCACGCAGGGAAAGGGAGCCGGGCTGCCCTGGTCTCCCTCCGCGGTCTCCGCGCACGGGACAGCGTCCTAAGAGCAGGCAGACACGAGAGCAGAGCGCCCCCCGCCCGGGAAGAGGGCATCTAAGGTGCGGCATCTGGTGGGGGGGCACACGGGCCCAGGGAGGGGGACACACGACCTCTAACCGCCAGGTCCAGGGGCTGCTCCCGGCTGTCAGAGTCGTGACTCTGCACAGAGATCTCTGAACAACACAAGTGGAATGAGCCCGAAACATCCAGGACTTTTAATTTACATTTCAGGCTTTTTTGTTTACTGCTCAGAGACGCTTACAGATGTCCCACCTAAGTCCTCATGAACTTATCACGAATGGCTTCAAAAAAGGTGGAAAAGACCTTCGTATTTATTTGTGAAACAGCACGGGGCGGCCACCTGTGGTCGGCCCTCTGCGGCCTGTGCTCTGCTCCCACACGCAGGTGCAGACTGCTGGCCCTGTTCCCTTCCTTCTCTCTGAGACACGTTCCCTTTGCAAAGACGGAGACTCCTGTCCTGCTGAGGAGAAAGTGTGCTGGCCGCGCTCTCAGTCACCTGACACTCAAGCGACAAAACCACAAAAACCTTATTAAAGACTCTCTACCAACCAGACACCAAAAGCGCAAACCAAGGAGACGCAGAAGCCCCCACTCGTCAAGGCCCCGCGCGGGCCCAGGGTGAGCCCTGCTCGCCCGCTCCGTTGTCCCCGGCCCCGCCCGCACGACGTCCTGCCCCCACGCGGCCCCTGCTGTGCCGTGCGTTGGCTGAGGGACCTCAGGCCAGTCACTGCGCCTCAGTCTCCTGGTCTCTAAGACAGAAAACCGCAGCGGACTGCTGTGTAAGGGCTCACACCACTGGCAAAGCGCTGAAGACAGCGCCTGGCTCGGGGCCCCGCACAAGCCTCACCCTCGCTCTCAGCTCATGGCGCGGTGGGGCGTGTGGCTGACACCCGCCTGGGCCCACAGCACCCAGCACCCTCCCGTGGTGGCCTGGTCACACACTGCAGCCTCCTCTTCTGACAGGTAGCAGCTCGGAGGACTCAGTCAGTCCTCCAAGTGAGAAAACCCTCCCGGAGCTGAGACACTCAGAGCCAGTTTCTGAATTTCCTCTGGAACCGTGCACAGACACCGTGGGGTGCAGGGAGGGCGGCCCAGCAGACACCAGCGAGGGGCGCCTCGCGGGGCGGCCGGGGGTGGGGGGCTCCTACCTGGACGAGGTGCAGCAGGGCTTCCTGAAGCTGCAGCTTGGTCAGGGGGCTGCCGGTGACCCCGGGTGGCTCCGAGGGCTGCAGGGGCAGGAGGAGGCCGGTGGGGGTGGCAGCTGGGTCTTGGCTTCTCAGGGGCAAGAGGCCGCTGGCCCTGTCCTGCGGCGGGGCCCAGGCGTGCTGGGTGAACACCATCGGGGACATGAGCAGAGAAGGGGCTGCTGCGGCTGGGACGCGCTGGGGTGAGAGGACCTGCGGGGGAGCCCGGAGATGGCTGGTTACTAAGCACAGAGACACGGGTGCGGGGGACGTGAAAGGAGCAGCAGAGCGGATGCAGGCGGTCCCGACGCGAACTGCTCGCAGCTGCAGGCGCGGGGCCGCTACCCGGAGGACCGACTCTGTTGCCCTCGGTCTCACGTACACACAGACTCTGCTCTGCACCTATGGTCTTTGTTTTCAAAAAAGGCAAGATTTCTGAGGAACGGCTGAAAGCCACTTGCCAAAACACAGCAGAAGGACCAATGAGGATAGATGTGATAAATAGAGAGAAATTTCTAATTTTAAACCCAATGCATTTTCAACGAATTTGTACCAATCCAAACGGAAAAAAAATCAGACCCGTCCCTAGATGTCCCCACAGGCAGTGGAAAACGGGAACGCGCCGGCGTTCTCCCTGCTCTGAGCTACTGGCGACCAGAGCGCCGCCTTCCTCGGGGGACAGGACACTTCTGAAGATGACAGCATCCCCTCTCGGGCAATCAGCGTGCATGCCATGGGGTCAGAGGGCACACCTCCCCTCTCCTGACTTCAGTCAGCTGCACCACTGGGACCCCCGCTTCCAGGGTCAGTGAAATGCTCCTCCGTTGACCCCAAGCACCCAGGCTGCGGCTTCTGCGGGGGACGGGCCCCAGCTCTTCATGGCCACGTTCCCACGTGCAGCGCAGGCTCGGCAGGTGGGAGTGCTCAGAAGTGGGTACTGGATAACGAACACAGGATAACCGACTGTGGGCGGAAATAACCAGACGAGGTCAGACGTCTGGCACCTCAGAATGATTTGAAAGCACCCTAAGTTTCCAAAGTCAAAGATATGGGTTTCTGTCCACGTCCCTGTCAAGCCTTCAAACCTTGTAAGATGAAGACTGAATTCCAGGAACGAAGCATCTCTGAGCAGAGGGAGGCTCTGGGATTGCCAGGCAAAGACCCCCTGGACGTCCAGGGAGAAGGTGCACACCCGGATCAGCTGGAGTGCACAGCATGGTTGGCTCTCAGCGCTCCAGGCCGCCCCTGCCCTGCCACGCGCCCCCCGCAGAGCCTACCTGAAGCAGAGGAGCCTGCGTCTGCGTGCCAGGGGGCCGGTCCCTCCAGGGCTCCAGTGGGGTGGGCGCACTGGCGCTGGGGGAGGCCACGGGGAACTTGGCGGCCAAGGCGGGGCGGCTGGGCGTGAGCGGAGGCTCCTGTGGCACTGT